TACGTAAAGTAAAAACACTAAGACAGCCACTAGGGAAAACTTAGTTAGGATTTTCTGAAACTGCTAGCATGAAAGCTTTAGTTTCAAACTTTTGAGTTATCCTTGTGTTTTGGTAGTTCAGTGGAGAGTTGAGACTCTTGAAAGAGTGTTGTACATTTTAATTGGGTGTGTGAAAACAGTGAGCCTGGGGGCTTGCCCAGGCTTTCTTCCTTATATATTTTATTGGTTCATCCAAGAAGCAGATGTGTTATTTCTGTTCCTCATCGTTAAGCTGCCGTTCAGGAATTACAACAGTCTCTGAGATGAAAGTCACAGTCTGTTTTCTTCTGGCACACAGACACAATACATTAGTGATGAACTCAGACTCACCAATAATTAGTTGGTATCGCAGTAAGCAAAGAAATCAGAGCACTTCCCCTTGGTGCTGTTTAACCAAGAGCAAGCCCAGATTTGAATTCTCTCCTTCTCTTTCCCTGTGGCTACCATCCTCTGCCTGCTGTGTGAGTCTTGGTCTGTTCCTGCCTGAAGGCGATATGGGAATCCGTCACTGAGTGTGTGTGTCTATGTCTGTCTGGATGTGTCTGTCCCTAAAAGGGAGCTTTGCTCTGCATTTATGGAATAGCACAGAGATACCACATAGGGACACTTTACAGAAACATTTAGCAGAGCTTCACAAGGGATTGAGCCACCGACTCCAGCTGACATATATCATGGACATCCATTTAAAGACTGCTTTCAGCCTGTTTGCTGTTTGCAGTTATCATAAGACATATATTGCTCAGAGTCAGGGCCATGGGATGGTATATATAACTAAGATTATGGTGTGCATTAGCTTAGGTTATAAAAGTTGGTTACAGGGAAATCCAAGGCAGTAAGTTGATTGTTACAATCTTCTCTTAAACACAGGCTAAACCAACAGGCCGGGTACACAGTAGGACAGCAGTTTTAAGCCTTAAGTGACCTTAAGGTGTATTATTAACTCTGGCTGTGAGGTCCAGCAAAAGTTCCAGTCTGTCAGAATGTCAGAGACATTTTCATAATATTGCATCACCACAGCAGGACTGGACTCCATGAGTCATTCTAGTCCCTCTGGAATGAGTTAGCTTTGTTAGATTTTCTTTTCTTTATTTAAATAAAGTGTAATCATAATTGATCTAGATGACATTGAGTGGCTAGTTACTGTCAACGGAAGCTAAACAGGCTTAACAGTTCTGTGTTATACGTGCAAAGTACAGTTGTTCTAGATAACTGGTGTATGGAGACAGTGATGACGGCATATGGAACCCAGACAGAGCGTGGTTCTAGATAACTGGTGTATGGAGACAGTGACATTTATACGGAGCCCAGAACAGACTGTAAATTTCATCGTGCTTTAAAGCTGCCATGGCATAATGAAATGGTCGTTCTTACAGCAGCAGCACTAACAATGGAAAGGAATTAAGACAATACAGCTTCACAGTGCAGACTCTTAAACATCTCAAATGCGTGTGTGTGTGTGTGTGTGTGTGTGTGTGTGTGTGTGTGTGTGTGTGTGTGTGTGTGCGCGCGCGCGCGCATTTTTGTGGCTCCCAGACCACGAGCAAGTCTGAGAGTATGGGGCGAAAGCTGGAGATTTGGATGAACGACAAGACGTCTGGTCGTTTTCTGAGAGATGTCTCTCACCTTTGTTGTGGGGCAGCCTTTTAGACAGACTTACAGAAACCCCGGGTGAAGGACTCACAACACGGTGTTGATGCTAGTGGGAAAACAGGGTTACCTGTGGTCATGCTGGAAAACAGCTCACAGCGACCCCATGGGACTGGGTCCCAACACATTTTAGGTGCCTTATATGTACTGAAATGAAACTTCCGGGAGTTTCTCCATAACTGAGTGTCCACAGATACCATTTGCTGGTTATGAAACTGTTTGTAAAAGTGTGAAACAGCTGAGCGCATCAGTTAAAAGTGCTCACTGCTCTCCCAGGGGACTTGGTGTGTTCCTAGCACACACCACCTTGTAACCTCCGTGGGGCATCTGCATGTGCATGGCTCACATAAATTTACCCAGGCACACACAGGGGACATAAGTAATAGCATAAAATTTTAAGTGCAAGGCACTTGTTTTATTTTCTAGTTTGGAAGAATATTGTTGATTTCTGAGGTTTTGTTGTTTCCTTTTGGTTTGGTTTGGGGTGGTTCACTTGTTTGTTTGTTGGCTATGCTTAACAGAGAACCCAGGGCCATAGCCACTGTGGGGGCTACACAAGGATTTTACTACTGAGCTATATTCCCAAACTGTTATATTTTTTCTTTGTTTTTCTTTAAATTAGAAACAAGCTTCTTGCCGAGCGTTGGTGGCGCACATCTTTAATCCCAGCACTCGGGAGGCAGAGACAGGTGGATCTCTGTGAGTTCGAGGCCAGCCTGGTCTACAAGAGCATATTCCAGGATAGCCTCCAAAGCCACAGGGAAACCCTGTCTCAAAAAAACACAAAAATAAATAAATAAATAAATAAATAAATAAATAAATGAAAGAAAGAAAGAAAGAAAGAAAGAAAGAAGCTTCTTTTACATGTCAATCTCAGTTCCCTCTCTCTCCCCCCCTCCCCGGCCCCCCCACCATCCCAAACCCTTTCTGCTCCCCAGGGAGGACGAGACCTTCCATGGGGGAATCTTCAAAGTCTGTCATATCATTTAGAGCAGTTCCTAGGCTCTCCCCAGTGTCAGACTATTATTTTTTAAGTAGAATAATTTAATCTTGGTTTATAACGGTCATTTAGCAGAAGGGTTTATTTCTTTGTTTTTTGTTTTTTTGTTTTTTTGTTTTTTTTTTGAGGCAGGGTCTGGCTATGTTGCCCTACAATAGGTGTGAACTGCTGGGTTAAGCTATCTTCCTGACCCCTAAGTAACTAGGGTTGTACCAGTACAACACCATAGCTGGCTTGATAGAATTTTAAGGTAAGAAGTTAAGTGCTTTCAAAGGATGAATACAAGCCTAATATGAAACAATTATAACTTAAAATTTAGAAGGTAAATTGATGGGGGAAGTCCTTGTGTGTATATGTTTGTCTTATTGGTTGATAAATAAAGTACTGTTGGCCAATAAGGAAGCAAGATTGTGGGACTAGGAATGGAGGAGGATTCTGGGAAATGTAGCAAAAAGAAGTCTTGTGATCCAGGCAGGAAGTGACATAGCAGGCAGACTCAGAATAGAAGCAGAGACAACCAAGAAATCTCTCTCTTCCTCTTCTTCCTCCTGCTCTCTGGAGCCGCCATGTGAGCCCAACAAGAGAGGACGCATGCTGTGCGTGTCCTCGATCAGATAAGTCTTTATAAAACATACAGATTAATAATTATGGTTGATACTTAAGACTGAGCTAGCAGATAAGAAATCCTAGTCATTGGCCAGCAGCATTGTACCTAATATTAATCTCTGTGTGTAACTTGAGACCTTAATGTGGTGGCGGGGCTCGGGTGATTGTCAGAAAAATTTATCATTACAGGAATAGTTAAGATGTAAGAGCTGGTCCCAGCAAACATGGAACCAGGACTGATGTGCAGCACGGGTGGGCGTTCTCCACAACCCACCCGAGGCCGCGCCCCTATGCATCACCCCTTTTGTTCTACATAGGACTTAAATATAATCGGTTGCACAACTTTTGAATTTAAACTAAATTGAAGGGGTTTGGATTTTACTTCCCAATGAAGTCACAAAAGGTTTTTCTGATACGTAGGGGTTCTTGAGAAAGTTGAAAGATTTCTGGCAAAGTTAATGACATTTATTTAAGGAAGGTTTAGTAGAATGGAAATTTGAATAAATGAAACCAAGGAAATTCTTGGCTTATTATTAAAGGAGATAAAGCATTTTGCAGGTATAACAGATTGAGAATCTGTTATTGGCTGCTTTTTTATACCCATGATACATTTCTTAAGTACATTAGTTATTTGCTACAATCTAATCACACAGATAAGTAGTTTTTAACCTGAAAATGTATTGTCATTGACTGGATATCATCTAGAGGCTCTCCAGACTCACATTCAGGTGTCATGCATTGCTCACAGATGGCCTGCTCTAGTATGGCCAGATACATTATTTCCAAAAAGGTTGAACTTTATCACCATTTAAAAAGCCACTGAGACAGCTGGGAGGTGGTGGGAAGCAGAGGCAGGCGGATCTCTGTGAGTTCAAAGTCAGCCTGGTCTACAGAGCTAGTTACAGGACAGTCAGGCCTGTTACACAGAGAAACCCTGTCTTGAAAAACAAAACAAAAGCCACCAAGGCAGTTAGTTTTTAAATGAAAAGAATAAACCTGAAAAACTGATGTCTGGTCTTTATTGGTTGTTCCATTTGGTAAAGTCAGCCTTAGAGTTTGATAAAAACACAAAGAGCAGCTTGCTGTCAGTGATTAGCCAGAAATTTTGTGTTAATAATTCAGTTAAAGAGCCAGGCATTGGTGGCACATGCATTTAATCCCAGCACTCGAGAGGCAGAGGCAGGAGATTGCTGTGAGTTTGAGGCCACTAAATTCCAGTATGGTGGCCCATGCCTTTTTGGTATTTTGAGACGGTCTCACCGTGTAGATGTCTGGCTTTGAACCTGTGATTCTCTCTTCCTCGGCTTCTTCAGCTTATCTTACTGGCGTGGGCCACTACAGCCTGCATGGCGCATGCAGGGGGATCTCTGTGAATTCAAAACCAGCCTAGACTACAAAGGGAGTTCCAAGACAGTCAGGGCAACACAGAGAAACTCTGTTATGGGGAAAGGAAAAAAAAAAAAAGCAATCTCTTTAAATTAAAAAAAAAATGAAGTCTACTTTTTCTAGCTCTTTGTCCCATGTCATGGCAGTATATTAACCGAGAGCATTGTGAGAGTTTGTCAGGTTATAGCCTGCTATAGTTCGTTACTGCTTGTGTGGCGGCCCTAACTGTCTGGATAAAAGAGTAGAGGTAAAATCACACTCTAGAAAGTGCACATGGCAGAGACAAAGAATAACAGCTTTGGACTCTCTTTTCCCTCTCAAGATAAAGACACAGACGTGAGCATGAAGGAGACGATGGATGACTTTGGCCTGCAGGACACTTTGAACAGTGAGTCAGATCTCTTCGCTTCAGCAGCAGAGGTAAGATAAGCTATGACCATGGTGAGGGAGCTTTGCCATGGCGCTCCATTTCAGCTGTGTGTGTGTGTGTGTGTGTGTGTGTGTGTGTGTGTGTGTGTGTATGTGTTTACCTGCAAGTATGGCTCTGCATCACATATGTGCCTGGTGCCCCAGAGGCCAGGAGAGGGCATCAGATGCTCTGGAACTGAAGTCACAGGTGGTTTTTAGTCACCATTTGGGTGGCAAGAGCAGCCGGTGCTCATAACCACTAAGCCATCTCTCTAACCCTGCCTGGTGTTGTTTTATTTTTCACTTTTGCTTGAGACAGGGATTTGCTCTATAGCACACACTGGCCTTGAACTCACAATTCTCTTTCCTTGGCCTCCTGAGACTGGAGAGGTTGCTCAGCAGTTAAGAGCACTGGTCGCCCTCCCCGAAGACTCAGATTCTATTCCCAGCATTCACAGGGCCCACATCGTTGGAAAGTTTGAGGTCAGCCTGGGATAGTAAAATTCTGTCACGTAACAACCAACCAAATATATCTTTATGGAGATACTGTAAAGTATACTCGAGTCCCAGGGAGTTCAGCACCTCTTCAGCCTCTGTAGGCACTGGGCACATACATGATGCGCATGTAGACAGAATACCCACAATACAATTTGAGAATATTTTCCTTTAATTCCTTTCTGATATATAACTTGAAAATACTTTTTAGTTTGGAAACATCTTAGTGGCATAATGCTTGTCCACCACACATCAGTGCTAGGCCCGTACACCACGTGCTGGGCCGGAACTTACCACATAGAAAATAGCTCTTCAGGTGTTCATCAGGCGCATTTTAATTTACTGTTTAGATTACAAAGGTTTAATACATTTTTAACTTCTCATAGGAAAAAATACATGCATATATGTAAGAAGGATTCAATGTTTAAGAAATATTTTAGTACTCCTAAGGTATAAATTATGAACTCAGAATATGAGTGTTACTAGATAAATTCTTTTGTAAGAAATGCAGCTGGGCATGAGGCAGGTGAATTTGGTTTTTATTCCAGCCTGGTCTACAGATGGTTTCCAGGCCAGCCAGAGCTACAGAGTGAGATCCTGATTCAGGGGAAGAAAAAAAAGGAAAGAAAGAGAGAAAGATAGACGGATGGATCACAATCCTGAGACGTTCAACAGTGTTTGATAATTTGATAGATTATTTTTTTGGAATTAACACATTTTTTGCTTGTTTAGAATGAAACAATTACTGCAATAAGCTCTTCTTTAAACTGAACCAATCATTTGCCCAAGTGATTGACAAAATTTTCCTATACATAAGATTTGCTGCACATTCATTTAGTTCATTTCCAATGTAGCTGAAAATTCTTCTTGAGAAATACAATGATATTTGACCACACTGCAAACCCTGAGTTTGCAGTTGCATTAATTAAATAAAATCAACCTTGGGTCAGGAGGTGGAGCCAGCAACCAGCTGACAGGAAGTAACCATAGAGAGTCAGAGGGAGTCTGGGAGGTGGCCAGAAAGTCGCACAGCAAGAGGCAGGGAGTGGCTTTGAGCGGGGCGTCCTTTTGGTTTGGAGTGTCAGAAGAAGTGCTCTGTCTCAGAGATGCTGCGAAGAGGCAAGGCCAGCCGGTTGCTCCTCAGCCTCTGACTCCCCAGTCTTATTGATTAATAGAACGATAGAGATTTAGTTAAAAACTACATTTGCTGGCAGGATGGGAAAGTCCGGCCGGGCCACTGTGCAGGTAACCGCAGAGCCACAGTGACTGGCTGAAACAGCAGTAGATTCAGGTGCAGCTGCTGTGATGGTGGAAAAACCACGACCTGGAAGGAAGAGGCAGGAGTTCAAAGCCATTCTTGGAAAGTTTGGGCTCAGCCTGGGATAATGAAATTCTGTCTCGTACCAACCAATGGCTTTATGGAGATACCATAAAGTATATTTTTTAGACATACACAATTTGGTATTTTTTGCATATTCATAATTGTGTTAACAATATTACTTTATAATTCCAATTTTTAAAAATTAAGGCAAGGTTTTACTATGTAGTCTACACTGATCTCAAACTGAGAGTTGTAGCATGAATAATAAAACCCCAGAGACAAACACTGGGGTTCAAGGTGAAGATCACAAAAGCAAAGCAGCCGGCCACTAGAGTTCGTGCCTCTGCCGAGGCTGGGGCAATGCTGTCCTCAGTGTGCACGCAGACTGAGCACACCACACTCCCGTCTCCACCTGCCTTACACTCCTCTCCAGTGCTGCAAGCCAAGCATCTGCTCCTCTGTAGCTCTTACACCATACACTGCCGAGAGACCTGACTTCAGCTTCCCATTGCCTAAGGTTTGAGCTGCAGGCAAACATGTGGGCTGTCAGGAGTCGGCTTGAGGAAGTTGGGTCTCTCCTTCTATGGTGGTCCTGGGGCTCAAACTCAGGTCATCAGGCTCGATGCAAGTACCTTTACCCACGAGCCGTCTCTCTGGCCCGAAGCCACACGTGTGTATAGTGTTAGCCTGGGTGTTGCTGGCAATGTGGCAGCTCCTGTGGCATTTAGAGAAGACAGAGAGATGGCATATTCCGAGGGAGAGTGTAAGGCCTGGGACTGGAGCGATGACTGAAGGAAGAGCCTGCAGCACAAGCAGAAGGTCTGAGTTCGAGCCCCAGGACCACCTGATGAGCCAGGTGCGTGTGTCAGTGCTTGTAAGCCCAGAATTTAGGTATTAGAAACAGGAGGGTCCCTGGGGCTTGCTGGTAGCTAGTCTTGCTAAATCAGCAATTCTAGGTATAATGGAAGACCCTGTCTTTAAAAATAGGGGGAAATGATCAAGGTAGATACCATGTTAGCCTTCAGCCTCCCCATGCACACACAGCAAAAAGAGCCTAAGTCCTGGCATGTTAAGCCTGGGTTTAAATTTAATGATTTACTCTTAGGACTTAAAGCACATTTCCTGTTACTATAAATCTCTGCTCCTTTGCCTGTATGTTGGCAAGTCATCTTACCCAACTTAGGATCTGACATAAGCAATAAATGAGATCATTTAGTCTAAGGCGTGTAACAGTGAACCAGCTGCATGTGAAATGCCAAGGCTCAGCCTGCAGAGGCGCTTCTGGTGTTTATGAGTGCAGATGTCCAGGGCTGTAGCTCCTGTGTCTAGTGCTTTCCCTGTCTGCCCAAGGCCCGAGATTTGATCCTAAGCAGGAGGAAGAAGACTGAAAAGTGTCTCCAGAAAAACAATGAGTATATTTTGGCATAAGTTGTCAAAGACAAAAATTCGAGGACTCTGAGGAGACTTTGAAAGTCCACACAGCATTTATTCAGATAATAGCAGAATCTTCAGAGGAGCTGTAAGTTGTCATTCTTCATTCAGTTCTGACTGTGTCTGCAGAAGTCTGAAAACCCAAATCTTGTAACACAGTCACTGCACCATCTTTTTGGCCACCACAGGAAAGAACTTAATGGGGCTGGCACGTCCCAAAAGTTCTGTCCCTCAAGAATAGTCAGAATTTGGCCTGTTTGGCACTTCCAAAAGCTGAATTCTCAGCATTTGTCTTTTTTGGTTTAGTTTGATTTGGTTTGGGTTTTGTTGCTTTGTTTTGTTTTGAGGCAGGTTTCACCATTTAGCCCTGGCTGTCCTGGAACTCCCAAAGTAGACCAGGCTGGTCTTGAACTCACAGAGATGTGCCGTCCTCAAAGACACCAAAATCATATGAAGACAGAAGAAAAAAAAAGGAGTATTTACAGATTACATATCTGGTTTTTTAAAAAAAAAAGGCTTGCATTTCTGCTATATAAATAACTCTTGGGCTGGAGAGATGGCTCAGTGGTTAAGAGTAGTGGCTGCTCTTCCAGAGGTCCTGGGTTCTATTCCCAGCACCCACATGGCAGCTCGAACCTGTCTGTAACTCCTGTTCCAGGGGTTCTGGTATCCTTACACCAATACACATAAAATAAAGTATTTTTTTTTAAAAAAGAACTCTTACAATTAAATACTAAATAGGTAAGTAGTCTAATGTAAAAATGGGCAAGTTGAATAGAAATTGAAAGACATTTCTCCAAAGAGAATATATAAATGGTCAGTAAGATGGATTCCTCCTTAATATTACCAGTCATTTTTGGAATGCAAATCCGTTCTCATCTGCTGTCGTTGTTATATTAAGGTAGAAAAGCAGTGTTTGGGAAGTGTGAACTTGCTGGTGACAGTGGACCAGGAATAACCACTTTGCAAAACACCCTGGCGTTTCCTCAAACAGTGAAACACATTTTATGGACCAGGAAAGTTGAAAGCATGTGTGTTTTTGAAGTTGTATACAAATATTCATAGCAGCCTGTTCATGACCCCAGAAAGTGGGAAAAAAAAAACAAACCCAATGTCCATCACTGAGGAATGGATAAAAAAAATGTGGTGTGTCCGTTCATCAGAGTTTTGTGTTTTTAAAGATTTATCTACACATTTTTGTGTGCGTGTGTGTGTGTGTGTGTGTGTGTGTGTGTGTGAATAACATGTATGTAGTATGTTGTATGTATGTATGTAGTATGTATGTGTGTGTGTGTGTGTGTATGTATGTATGTATGTAGTATGTATGTATGTGTGTGTGTGTATGTGGTGTGTATGTGTGTGTGTGTGTGTGTGTATGTGTGTATGTGGTGGTGTATGTGTGTGTGTGTGTGTGTATGT